CGGGCTGAGCCACCGAGCCCGGCTTCCACTTTTTTAACTTAACATTTTGTTGTCTGCCAGTGATTGGTGGTAGATGACTAACGGCTATCAAAGATGTTAAGTATAGTGGAAAAATTCTATCTCCAGATTACTTTTTCTCCCATGATTTTTAACATTAAACACCTTTGGTATCATAAAGCAGTACAGACCCATTGCATTTCAGCAGTCATAGCTATTAAGTTGAACTATTTGAACCTATTATCTCTTATCTACCAGTTTCTGCTTTTTTTCTTAGTACCATTGTTATACATATCCAATATTTAATTTGGTTGAAGGATTTTTATTCTCAGAATTCGAGGGTTCATATTGGAACATGTCCATTAAAAAACATTAGGGATCAGAAAAACTTACATTAAAAATAAGAACAAAGCAAAACAAACCTCCCTCCAGACAAACAAACCCAAAGATTCCTTCTCAGTGTGAAATTTTAGAATCAGTGGATGGAGGTTGTCCTCAGAATTTATACCAGGTAGGAAACCATCTTCTTCACTCACTGGGTAAGAATGACCTTCCTGAGTATAATAGCACATTGGGCTGGGAAGGACCCAGACTGGCCAGGGAGCACTAGGGCCCCACTTCAAGGCCTCCATCAGATTTTCAAAAAATAATTCTACTTTTAGAAAGTCAATTTCATTTTTTTTTCATTTTCATAGGAATGGAAATAAAAAAGCAAGCATCCAAGTGATTTCAACCTTTCGCTGGAAGCTGAATGGTTGCTGATTGCTGTCAGCTGAATTCTGTTTTATTTACCTAGTATTACTGATGTTACTAGGAAACCATGCTTCATCGTTTAGCATTTTATTGTGGAAAATAAAATGACCAATTATTGCAAAGTTGTCTTGATGTGTTATTTAGCCTTTTTATGTTTAAAGCCTCTGCATGTTTTTCTGAAAGTTACTCTGTGATGAATTAGGTGACACATATTTAATTTCTTTTCAAAATTATTTGTATCAGCCTTCCCAAAAATGATTTATATTTTATTTCTTAGTCAATTTATTTGTGATTTTTTAAATGTTTGCAAAAACAGATTCAGAATTGAGGAACTTCTCTAGTGAATCACTGGATGGCTTCAAGGTCATTGTGAAAGTGTCCTCTCCTTGCTGCTGGTTATAAGCCCTCAGTGAACTTCTCCGATGAAAATTATGTGGACCCAAAATCATTCACTGTGTTAAGTACAGAATTTATCTGTTGTGTCTGATTTACAAGTGATTTATTATTCTTATAATACAGTGTACCTTTGGAAGACTCCTTTACAAGCATGTATTAATTTTCATATCCCTGTTGAAATTTTCTGTAACACTGCAGATGGATTTAGATGTCATTTTCCAAAGCTATTCTTCAGAGTGTTCGGAGGGGGACAAGATTATACTAGTGCAATAACAATAAGAATTGTGATACTTTGGTTTTATGTAGTTCTTTCCAAAGAATTATCTCACTTAATCATATGCTTATAATAACCCTGCAAAACATGTGATGAGATGTAATTGTCTCCATTCTTACAAGTAAGAAAATTGAAGTTCAGACAAGTTACATGAAGTTTCCAACATCAGACAGCTGGTAAGTGGGAGAACTAGAACTTGAACTTCGTTTTTATGTTATCTTTATTCTTTGAATTATGGTGAAAAATATTTCTTGTTGAACAAATTTTATCTGAATAAAATCAATGACAACTGAAATAGATTCAGTTCAAATATTTCCTGAGTGTCTACAATATGCCAGGTTCTGTGTTAGACTCTTGTCTGTAAATTTCATCTGCATCATCCCATTTGGGTCTCTTGTGAACTCTTCCCATTCCATTTAAATTCTGGGATTATTTAATTCTTGAGTGCCTCCCATATACAAGACACACATTTTTTGTAGAGGTTCTAAGTCTTCTAGATGGTGAAATCAGGCTTCGATATCTATTTTGCTTAAAAGTTAGGTCAGCAACTCTAAATTTTATAACAAGTTAAGTGACCTTTTTGAAGAATCTTGTTAAAATTTATAGACAGATTTTTCTAGAAGCTTGTATTATCAACTCCTTAATTTCCGATTCTTGGTTTCCGTGTTAGGAATTTTACTAATCATTTAAACATTTTCTGTTTGCCATGGAAGTTGCAGTGGTGTAGAACATTTATATGTTAGTCTACGAATAAGGGTCTGGAATCAGGGCTTGAATTTGGTGATCTGGCTTTCATTTGTCTGATTTATGTTTAAAAATGTATTGATTTTGAAAGTAGAAATGGTTTATGTGATTGCTTGTGATTAAGGATAAATTTAGAGCTCATCGGCACACCTTTGGCTTTGGAAACACGCTGAAATCTGACAGATACATTTACAATTTGAAATTAGTTCCTTGTGGTGGGCTACTGAGGCATGCAGAACAGAGTCAGGGATTTGGAACCCTACGGTGTTAGGAAAGATTGTAGGAGTGAAACCATTAAAGGGCATTTATTCAGCAGGAACAATTAGGAGCTACTGACCCCACATAGTGGCTTCACTGGTTACCTGATAAGGGTCACTATTATTGGGTTGAGGCATAAGTTCATAGCATTTTTCATTTGCCCATAGAATGAAAATATTGCACAATGGTCGACTGGTCACAGTTCATTGCATTTGCCAATTCTTAGGTTGACTGATGTGGATCATCGTAGATTAAAGCATTTACGTGTTCTTCATCAGAGCCTGATGGTCTTTCTGAACATGAAGAATGACTCAGGTCAAAGTGTTCCTCTTTGAAACGACAAAACCATTTTCTTGCCATGCTTTCCCCAATGGCATTCTCCCAAGACACGGCACAAATGTTTCTAGACTGCCTTTATTCCTTTGTTAAACAGAAGATTCTGTCAGAAGTGTTTGCTTTTTTCCACTTGACATTCCATCTTCTTTAGTCCACATATAGCACTGACTTTCTTCAAATCAGAAAAATGCAAGGTATATTCACAGCATTGTCACTCCAAATGACAAACAATAAACAGACTCCCAACACCCCAGTGTTGCCATGCAAATGCTACCCACTTATGCTTCAACTCAGTTCAGGTGTGTGTGTGAAAGAGTACGTGTGCGTGTATGCTCGCATGTGTATGTGTGCATGTGTGTGTAAGGAATGGATTGCAAATATTACAGCTGACTCCTATAAATAAATCCCTGGCCACTGGCTATCTGCCCATTTGCAGGTACTGTGGTTCCAGATACACTAACCTTGAGCAAGCAATGCACACAGTAGAGAAAAAGGGAGTGATAGATCAAGAAACTGCTAATCACAGATGCAATGTTTTCCAGGAAAGAGGGCTGAGAAGATGTCAAAAACTAGTTATTAAACTCCTATAATTTATTTAATTCATTCTACACATATTTCAAGAGCCTATTCTGTACCAGTCACTGTACTTGACTTGAGGAAAACAATAAACAATAAATATCTTCTGACCTCAAGTACCTTAAAGTTTGTTGTGAGACAGACATATAAAATATGATATAAAGAAATATAAGGCAATATTAAAAAGTAACTCACCATTACCAGGTCAGGTTATTACAGAAAGGCAAGAAGAATTTAGTAGTTGGAAACATTTTAATATAATTCACCATTTTAATAGCTTAAAAGAGAAAATGATACGATCATCTTCAATGATGCTAAAAAGGCATTTGACAGAAATTTAACATGTATTCTTGATAAAACATCTTAGTAAGAGAAACAGATGGATACATCTTTAACATCATAAAATAAATATATGTCCATGCCAACGCCATCATTATGCCTCATTGGAAACAGTAGACACATTCCCATTCAAGTCAAGAATAGGCTGGGTGTGGTGGCTCACATCTGTAATCCCAACACTTTGGGAGGCAGAGGCGAAAGGATTGCTTGAGCCCAGGAGTTTGAGACCAGCCTGGGCAACTTGGCGATACCTGGTCTCTACGATAAATCAAAAGATTAGCCAGGCATGGTGGTGCATACCTGGGGTTCCAGCTACTTGGAAGACTGAGCCAGAAGGATCGCCTGAACCCAGCAGTTGAGGCTGTGGTAGCCATGATTGTGCCAGTTCACTCCAGTGTGGGCAGTGGAGTGAGATTCCAACTCAAAAACAAAACAAAACAAAAAAATCAAGAACAAACTAAGAATCCTTACTATTGTCATTATAATGAATGCATCATTGTTCTGGGTGGTTCTACCATTATGGTAAGTCCTGAGAAAGATAGAGTAGGATGGAAAGAACATTAAGTCAGTGTCCAGTCCCAAGTCTTAGGAAACGAGCCACTTCCTCTTTCTGTGTCTTGGGATGCTCATTCTTGGCACTTGGCCACTATGCCATGAGGAAGCCTAAGCAGGCCGTGGGGAGACCCACGTGGACAAGGTCAGGGCCCCAGACGAGCTCTTAGCCGATGGCCAGTACCCACTCGGCTCACTCTGATGGAAGCAAGTCATCTTGAAAGCTGTCCGCCAGATTCCAATTAAGCAGCCCCAGATAATCCTTGAAAGCAAAACGAACTGACTCTCTCACACCCTGTCCCAGCTGCACATTCGTGAGCATGTTCTTGTTTGCTATTATTTTAAGTCAGTAAATTTTAGAGTGTTTTCTAAGTGCGGCAATGAATAATCAGAAAAGGTTTTGGTACCCAGAAGTGGGGTGCTACAGTAAGAAAACCCTAAAACTGGTGGCATTGGCTTTGCAACTGGCTGCAGACAGAAACTGAAAGGACCTTGAGAAAAAATGTCTGTAAAATCTTCAAGTGCATCGAGGAAATTGTAAGCAGAAGCCTAAGAGGCCTGGTGGGATGTTGGTGAGAGAACACATCACAGGACAAACATCTTTCTCAAACTACCTATATCTCAGAAAAGAAGATGACGCTTCAGTGGCTAAAAACAGAAATGTTTTTTTTTGGGTTCTGAACAAAAATATCCTACCTTCATTTCATTCTTAAGTTTGCATGGCAGTTCTTAGCTTTCCAAAATAATTCAACATATTTGTACCTTAAAGGCCTTTGGAAGTAAACAGATCAGGTATTACTGTATAAGCCCATTTTAAGATCAAGAGGTTAAATGACAAGCACAAGTTGCACGATTATCTGGGAACACAGACCATATCAGTCCCAGTTCTTATTACGCCTGAGTCCAGAAAGAGAGTGGTTTCTCTGCTGTGGGAGGTAATTGTACCCTTGCTACAATTTGCCCAGGGGCAGGTGTAGTCCGAGGAGGTGGAAAACTAAAGACATGGTTAGGTGGAACTCTAGTCACTGAGGACCGACTGTCTTTCAGAATGTCTCTTTTAGAGCAAGCATTCTGGGAGAAACGGAAACACTGGGCTTGTATTGACTTGTTTTTCTTTCTTGTCTTGCCTCCTTATATTCTGAGTACAGTTGCAAATAAATGTTTCAGGTTCTGGAAGGTTGGTTTTTCCTCCAAGAACTTCAATATTTGATGAGTTTGGAAACTGAGACGCTGATAAGAAACACATCGAACATACGTTGCTATTAGGTTGCTTTCATATTATTTCCCCAAAATTCATAATTAAAGGTGAATACGGGATAGAATTCACCATTCCAATTATATGTACTCTTCCTTTTCTAAAAAGGAGAGACCCACAGAGGTGAAGAGTAATGACAATTTGTGGATGGGTCTTTAGAGAGCACACCTTTTGCAGGGCATCCGGTCCTTTACGATGGCTGTAAGAAACCCGTAGGTGCTGGGTGTCCGTGTGATGGCTCATGCCTGTAATTTCAGCACTTTGGGAGGCAGGGCAGAAGGATTGCTTGAGCCCAGGAGCTTGAGACCAGCCTAGGCACCATCACAAG